GGAAGGTGCAGCGCGGTACAACCAGTGCCGTGCTCCCTGCCCAAATCCCGCCTCAGCCAGGCCCCAGCGCAGCCCAGCGCAGGACGCGCTGCCTTGGCTCGCCTCTTACGGAGGCTGTGCGCGCTTTTAGGACAATTTAGAACGGCACTCTGCCGCCTTCAGGCCGCCCATTTCTCCCGGGACAGACTGACCGCTCTCCGCAGGAGGCACCTGCTTCCCGCAGGAAGTCAGCGCATGCAAGGAAGAAGGATGCTACCCTCAATTAATCAGCGAGGAAACAGTCCCTGAGACGTAGCAGGGCAGCTATTAGAGCTGCCCTTGCGGTCTTAAGTAGCCGATGACGTTAAATAATAGCATGGCACTGTAATTAGTTTTGTACAGATTTAACAGTAACCTTAGAGGCATGAACCATTGTGTGTGAGGCGCACAAATGACCTGTGCGTGTTTAGCGGCGCCCTTTGAGACACTGCCAGGCGCGGTGTGTGCACACAGAGCTGCAGGGACCTGTGCTGGGGCACCTGACTCCGCTGCTGCTCACATGCTGCTTTCTGGGCAGGTGCTAAGAGGTATTTAACGTGTAAGACATCAAGAGGTGTGCAAATCCTGGACAACCCCTCAAAATCTACACAAAAAAAGGGTTGGGGGGGATACTTTGGTCACCCTTAACAAACTTCTGAAATAATACTCGAACAGAAGTTTAAGGTTTACGCGTCAATTTCCAGTGGGAACCACATATGAAACTAAGTAACTGCACATCAAGGTCCATAACCTGATTATTCTGAGATCTCCTACCAAAATAGGCTGCAAAGAATAATGAAAGAAAACACCGTCATATTTTTCAAAAGGCACTGAAGAAGACAGTGCTAAAGAGCATCTGATGAAGCACACCCAAGAAAGGCACAAGGCACTGACTCACTGATTCCAGAGCCATCATGCAGGAGATATAGTCACCTCAAAGCTAAGACACTTTGCTCCATACTTGGGAAAATTGTCAGTGGTGTTCACGAGACGCTTGTCACGATCAAGAGTCTTCAATTAGGAAGTTAAAAAGGTGACCTTTTCTGCCAAATGACAGGGAAACAGCCAAGAAAATGCTGATGTGTGATGCTCCTGCACCATCAAGGAAAATCAATGAGCCACAGCTGCTTACACAGCTTTGAAAACACATCCAGTGTTTCTCTTGCCTTAATGTTCCATTTCATTGCCATTTGTCAGCTTTAGCATCTTGTAACTGGATTAAACTGATGGAGGAGGGCTTAGCAAATGGTAGGTTTTGAAGTCAAAGTTCTTTCACTACAGAAGAAGCCAGCAAGGATTGTGGAAGATCATCCCACATTCCTCTGCCTGTGTGACGCTCTGTATTGCTGCACAAAACCTGCCCAGCCCAGAACAGCATCCCCAGAGTGCCTTGCAGAGGTGATGTACATCCTGACAGGCATCAGTGCAATCGTGCCATAATCCTGAAATCTGAGCATCTTCAGTACCAGGAACAGGATAAACAACTAAATATTGACTTTGAGATAAAAAATACCTGTCATCACCAAGGAGCAACACTTATGACACTGGCTCACACTAAGCTCAGCTCAAACCCAGGGGCACGGTTCTGGAATCATGTATCATGCTACCTGAGCAAAATAAATCTTACAGAAACAGTGTAATTGCTGATATGGAAAATCTGTAACAGCATAAAATAGCTAACAGGAGTTGAAATAAAGTAGATCAGTTATTTATCCATTCAGTTCAAACCCTGTACAGGTGACAGAAGCTGGGAGGTGTGGGGGTGGAAATTACAGAGTAAGCACATCTCAGGATAGTGTACTCAAGCAATTGACTGAAATCTGGCAGAATGGCTCTCCCTGAATTCCAGAATCAATACCTCATTGCAATGCAAGGTTCTCACCTCCTACATGTATTGCTTGAGGCTAACAAGTGCCTGCATTAGTTGACACTGGAGCCTCAGCTTCTAAACACTTTAAAAAGGAACAAACCAGCCCCTTTTCAGAGCCATGCCATCATTCCCCTTTTTCTCGCAAGTTTCTTTGCCTCCCCACCACTCCTTCCTATAGATGGCACCGTATTACCACATTTTGAATGACATCCAGAAAAGGGTAAGTTAGTGATTAATTAATATTAATCAGGGGTCAACTGACAAAGGAGCAAGCTGCTGGAGACAGAGCAGATAACAGAAGTCAAAATGGCTTCTTCTGGGAACTGCAGTAGGGTAAAGCTTGAGATGCCAGGATGTTACAATGTTATATATGATCCAGTCTTTCCTCACCAGCAGGAGGGCAAACAGTCTGTTTATAAACTTAAATCAAGCTCACATGCATTGAGGAAAAAGCAGTATTATTTCAAACCTTTGCTGGTCATGTCTGCTATGCTCCTCTGCCTTCCCATACAGAAGGAAACAACTGCCTGTCTCTCAGTGCTTCCAGCCAATCCAAATGCACCATCACTGTAAGGCTGATGAGAAAAGAAAGGAAGAGCAAATGTCTTGGGGAGGACAGTCCTAAACCACTGCTGGAAGATTTATAAAAATGTAATATACACTAAGTGATCTTGGGCAGCAGTACTGATAGGTTTGTCTGCTCCAACCCAAACACTGAAGTTTATGAAGCAACTCATTTACCTTTAGGACTCAGCCATGGTCAGTAACCCAGAGTACAGACACTGTAGACTTTACTAATAAGACAATTCCCCTAACATCCGCAGCACTCAGCCATTTAACACAAGGCTGCTATTTGAGATGGCCAGGGGAAACTGGCTGATGCTGATTAGAAGTATATGAAATTACACTATCTTACAAAGAGCACTCTTTCTTAAAGATTATGGGGATATTCTGTGTGACTGTTCAGAAGACTAAACACAGCCACAAATACTTGAAATAAGCAATGGTTGCCTCGTATTTGATCATTTACATCTTAAAGCACACAAGGGACCTTACTGCAGAATGACACTGCACAGACTATTCTCCCTTTAGCAAATATGACAACCGGTATTCTTTAAAGAATGAAGATTCTACAATACAGGCTTCATTTTACACTAAGTAAACCCATAGAATAATCAGACTTTATTCACTTTATGCTAAATAAATACCCTGAATGAACAATATTCTGCTTAAGAGTACAGATACAAAGAGTATCTGTAAAAGGTAAGGCAAGTGCAGTTGACAGAAATTGACAGAAGTTCCCCTTCACTGAATTACACTGCTGTCACAAATGTAAAGTTCTATGACACATATTCAGATATAACACCAGATAGTGGTGTATTGTAGCAGTTGGTAAGCACCTATTCATCCATCAAATGAATATCTGATAAGAGAGAGGCAGAATAGGCAGAGGCTTAGCCAGAGGTAAATACTAAAGCAACCAAAAAGAGATTTCTAACAGAATGGTAAACATAACTGTCATTCTAACATTCTTCTCTTTGCTTATTACAATTATACAGTGCAGCAAATGTTTAGATTTCAGTGTTTGGTCAGTAAATCTTGATTCTTCCTGAGGTTCCTTAGCCCTTTTCTCACAGTTGCTTTCACCTCCCTTGTAAAATAAATCAAATAAAATAAAGCCCTGTTCTCTGAACTCCAGATACCCCAATCTTAAGGTCAAGGATGTTTTTGCTACCACACCCATTTCTTTTAACCTCTTAATGCCCTTTGATCAAGTGCTGTTGGCATCGGAAGAGCGTTGCTGCAGTTGATATTATCTGCAGCACTACAGCAGAAACCTGAAACAGTCTTGCTGCCAGCTGACACAGTACTGGGCTCCTGCAAGGTGCTGCAAAACTTTAAAAATAATTTTAATCTACATAAAAACGGACCAAAGAGGCAAGACCAAAACAAAACCTCTGTTCTGAGAATTAAACACTTAATATAATCCGTGGTGCAAGATGAAAACCACAAAAACAAAGTAAACCCCCCAAAAAATACAAATAAAAACAAAAAAAACCCAAAAAACAAACAAACAAACAAACAAAAAAACACCTCAAAATAAAGGAAAGGCTGTGATTACTCCAAAACCATTACAGCAAGGGAGTTACTATCCTAATATCTAAACAATTGTGATAAAATGTTAAATCTTATGAACAGTAAGCTTCAGCTTATGAGGGAACCTTGATATTATTACTGGGAAAAAAAAAGCAAAAGCAGAGAAAAGCAGACAACGCTGATGTGTCCCCTTCTCCTTCCAAGAATGTATTTTCTATATTTTGAAACCAGATTTACCCTTAGAGTATTGTGAGTGAATTATCCTACTGCACTAAGCTGAGCACGTTAGGGCTCCACAAATGCTGCCTATTTCGACTTCCTGCCAGTTAAAAAGAAAAAGCACACACAGCCTTTTCTAAAGAACTAACTTACATCTTCTTAGTACATCCATTGCTTTGCTGAAAGTTGAAGAAGGCAAGGTCACATTTTATTCAGCACAAGCAGAAAGGTTTGTTATCATTTTACTTGTGAAGGAATTTATTAACTGCAGACTGAACCTGTCTCCCACACAGGAGAATGCTCACCTTTCTAATGTTCTCATGATTTCCTGAGGTGAATTATTAATTTCACCATCATTACATATAAACTTCCCCTCTTCATGAATATTCACACTATAGCATAGTTAAAGAGGAAATTTGCAAGATTGAAAATTGATGATTTCCAAGTTTGTACTCAAATATTTCAATGAACATTTTCTGGGATATAATAAAAGTAATCAACTCACTTCCACTTCACTTTAAAGCCACAGTGCACATGTACCATAGAAACTCACAGTCAAACATAAAGAGAAAGTAAGTTCCACAAGTCTCAAGCTTATTCATATTTAACCTTCCTGTCCAGAAAGATGTTAAGGATGTTGGAATAAACTGTTAATAAACTAAATAACTTCACTTGAATGCAATGGGCTAGACTTCTAGAGTTAGTTATCTAACAAGTGCATTTTCTTCCAGGAATCCTCTTGCTGAGTACCCTCAACTAATATTTGGAATAAACAAAATATACCTTGTACAAGAGGTTTGAAAAAAATTGGCTTTATCTCTGTACCAATTTCTCAGTGTCACATAAATGACTGTCCAGTTACTAAGGAAAGAGGATAAAGCAGAAAGAACACACATGATGGCCCAAACTCCTCCTCCCCCGCCCAAAACTGGCATTCATTTCATTTTAACGAAAAAGCAACCTACATGTACCTATATAAGAACACATATATTACTGAAAGACACAAAAATCAAACATCATTGCAGAGAACAAACAACCATCAAACTCTTACATTCAGTCAAAAATGAAGTATTAAAAGTTCCCTTCTACAGCAGCAACTTGATTCCAGGAATTTCAGTTCTTACAGCAAACAAACACAGTCATTACATATTTTTATATTTTCATTAAAGTGAGCAGACATAGGAACATTTGCCTTAAAGTGAATAAAAAAATTTTAAAATATAACCTCTTCAAGTGATGTATTACAAAACTTCAATTTTTTAAATGGCATCTCTGCATAATTTGCAAAAACCACACCTAAAGACAGTAAGGAAAAAAATTCTGTTAACATTGTAAGATAACAAGTATGGATAAAAGGTGTTTTAGTTGGCAATGAAGAATTCCAAATTTCTCCTTTACTAGTGCAGCATACTGCAGAAAGCATTGCAATACACACCACGGATTTTTCATGTTAAATCTATAATGTATTTATTATCACTGTATCTATTATCTGCTTATTCTGTTATCAAATTTAAGTTGCAGCCAGCTTAACTCCTTTATGTCATTATATCTGCAAACAATTCAAAACATTCAAACGATGATATGCCACATTAGTTTGAAACATCAACAACAGTATTCCATCTTATTTTTATTTATTTTCAGATAAATACTTACTCTAGTTGGTAAAACCATTGTTGAACACTCAGTATGTGGCTGAACAGAAATAGTGTAGAGCTAACACTGACCCAAGGGCTACTGATGCAACTAATAGTAAAAGATGTAAATTACCTTCTCTGTAAATTCATCAAGGACAGAAGGATTCCTAAACATTCCCTCTTGGCTATCTTCAGTGCAAAATAAGTATTCTTTTTATTCACTTCTGGCTGGGATTCTTCATTACTTAATGCTCGTGTAAATGGATAATCTGTTTTTTCTATCTTTTCCCTTCCCAAAAGACTGAATGTTTTCAGGGTGACTGTTTTCAGAGGAGGGATGTACAATGTAAAGCCTTTCAAAAGTTTTAAATATAAACCAACAAAATCAAGGCACTTAATGTAGATACATATGAGCAAAATAAATTATTACTGAGAATGATAAGGTCAAATCACAAAGTGAGATTATCAGCAAGGGTAAAATCACTTTCTTTTACAGCCTTGGTTTGAACTTGCCAGAAACAAGCTTTTTCAGCATTTCAGAATTTTTTCCTTCTGGTGGGGATGGCCATCTGTCATGATCTGAGGAAAACAAATACAAGAATTTACTTAGTTGATTGAGAAACTAGACATTTTACTTTTGTGTCCTCCCACTGCAAAACTTCAGTCACTTGAAGGGCATTATTTTGTAGCCAATTTCTTTCTTACCAGGTATTTCTAGGCCATGGCCATACAAACTCTGGCCACCATCCACGACCATGGTTATCCCAGTTATGAATGATGCAGCTGGAGACAGCAGGAAACATACTGCCGGAGAGATCTAGCAAAAGAATGACATTTTAAAATCTTAATTTTAAAATGTCAAATTTTCATCTTTCTTAAACTGCGGAGAATTGTTCATGTCAAAGAAGTCTGCAAAAACTTTTACAGGCAAGATCTAGTAACATTTGCTACTTAGTAATGAAAACTGTAACAGCCTTCCAGCCACAAACATCAAGTATTTAACAGAGGAAAACAAGTAAGCTGTCAGAGAGCAGCATCAGATACCAAAAAACAACCAAAAAGATACACTTTTTTGCCCTTAATATTCATTCTTTCAGTCCTTCCTACTGAAGTCAACTTTTTCAAGAAATAATGTCTAGTATCAAACACTTCAGCTGTAAGAGGCAGCTGAATTAAATTTTCTGTGTAACAGTGACTACTGGTTAAGTCTCTCACTTGGCACAACCACACACTGGTACAAGCTTTCTTCTTTTTAAATATTCCATCACAGCGCAAAATTAGTCTTTTTTGTTCTCCATATAATAAAGAGGCTTCAAAATAGAGACAGAGCAGTAGGTGTACCAGAAGCATTCTGAAATACATTACCTCCTCAGGAACAGCTGACCTCTTGGCAGGAACCTTTGGTATGCTCTTTAACCACATCATTACACCTTGTTCTCCATAGTTTGCAACAGCAGTTTCCGAAAATACCAGTCCCTATTTAAAAACAGCACCATGAAACTTAAGTTCTCTTGCATACATTTAAACTGATCATTCTAAAATTGTGGAGTTGTCATTACTGATTTTTTGTGGGACTGAACTATCTAAAGAGCACTTGAATACAAGTTTTTGAATGTAATGGCATAGTATAATTTATACAAGAAGGTAATTTGGCTGCTAGCCACATCTCTGTTCAAGCACAATAATTCTGATTATTCCAATTTTCTGCTGTCACTTCAATAACAAAAAAGTGGAGTATAAAAAAACTCAGATGCTGCTTTGAAATTACAAGCATTGCATGTTAAATTACAGCAGGAAACTACAAAGCCACAAGAACAAGTTCTCCAAAGTTTCTTGTCATCTGTAGGAGCACTAGACCGATTTATTGTGAATTACAGAAGCAGACAGATTTCAGTCAGAATTCTGACTCTCCCTATTTAGCTGCTCTAGAAGCAGAAAAAGATGACTGTGTTTGCTCTGGTGACCACACAGTCACCAGAGTGACTGGTGAGAAGGAAGTTTTGAGAAGGAAGATAGCAATGTGAGCACAGAGTTACATTCACCAGCTAGGACAGAACTTCTGAGAGTCAAGTTAAAGTAAAATAGCAACATTTGAATTCACCTGTGAAGTGTATACTAAGATGTTGAAGATACCTGTATAATGTATGTAAAACTCTTTTTCAGAATGCACACTTCCCTCTCTATGTATCCATTCCCTACAGGTTACTCTCCTCTCCTAAAGCAGTAATAATTTTGTATTGTTACCACAGACCTGATGGGTCCACAAAGGTGACAGAAGTATTATTGTAACTACAACATGGACTTTTGTTACCAGCATAGTAACAAAGCTAGCAAATACTTCTAAAAGAGCCAAAGCCCTGAAGTGTTTGCTTGTCAAAAACGTCTTCTGACATGTGCTATAATTTCTAATCAGCATGATTCATTAGATAATTAGCATGCCTGAAAAGTATATTCACATAATAATGCTGTCTTAATTACTTACTTCCCCAAGACTTGATAAATCAGAAAAAGTAGATAAACAGGAAATACAACTCAGTACATCTTAACATCTAACATGTCTCCAGATGAATCGGGTCTCACAAAGGTTACATAAAAGCCTTTACCTGAATGATTAACACACATCTGCCATTAAGCATTCTATGCTATGCCAAACAAAGCAAGCCAGATGTTTTAGGACAAGAGGCACAACAGAATACACAGACATTCTACAAAAACAGTAGCAAGATCTTCCTAGGGATCACTTAAACAAACATGACACTTCACTTAAGACACTGTGAGATAAGCTAAATTCTGACTGTGGAAGTAGCTGACAAAGTATATGTTTCCTTTTTTAATTTCAAGGGAGTAAATGTGCAAAATAAATTGTGGATAAGAGAAAACTACAACAGATCACACATTCTCATATGTCAAGGCTAGAGCTTCTATATAACTTCTGTATTTGCAGCACTATAAAACGTAGCTGCTCTTTCTACACAGTTATTTAAAACAACTCTACCTGCTGTCTACTTCCTCAGAAATGTGGCAGGCATATTTTAGCTGACCTGTATAGTGGTTTCCTGTCTGCATCAATTTGTTATGAAAAAAATCAAAACACACATTTTTACATATGATTTCTCTGAAAGAAAGTACACTCCAATTACAATGTCTTTATATGCCTAAAGCTAAACTAACTTAACATGTAGGAGACAAAGTAAAAGGCATTATGTGAGACAGAGATTTTCAAAATAAGTTTGTAAACATAGGTGGAAACCATCAGCATTACCTGAACCTCAAACAGAAAGGTTTCCTGAACTCAGAAGTAATGTATCCATTACTGAAACACAGAGCATTCAGTAATTTTATGTCAAGGCTTTGTAAGACAGGTCACCAACTCCTACCAGTATTATTTCATTTAGCTATAAAAAAAACTAAAAACCAAGCGTGCCAAGTCAAGGCAGAAAGCAGAAGCAATTTTATCCCACATCCTCTGACTCATCATCCAAAAGTACAAAACACTGTCAAATGGTCCAAAGAACACAGTAAGGGAATTATAAAGAAACAAATATATAAACAATCCACAAGCAGTTACTGGTAATAAATTAAAAAAAAAATATTTAAAAATCTGTTTTGGTCCAAAAGCTCTAACTATGAACATATGTAACAGCTAATTTTAATCAGACCATTTGCTATTACTTACAGGAGCAACACTGTTGATTCTTACTCCACTGTGAGCCCATTCTAAAGCTAAAGTCTTGGTTAGGTTATCCACTGCAGCTCTTGCAGCTCCTGTGTGCCTATGGAGAAAAGAAAGCAAAGGAAGCATCTGTTCCCTTAGCTAGGAAGTTCCAGTGCTAATTCTACGGCAGCCTCATTAGGGTATCAGAGTGGTTTTCTGTGGCTGGACCAAGCATCTGGAAGAGAGAGACTCTCTAGTTTCCAAGTTTGACCATAGCTTCACCGTTTAAACAAGCAATGATTTGCTGTCATTGCTAGAAATACTTAAAATCTCTTTCCCAATGCAACACGGGGTCAGCTACACTCTACTGCAGGAGGAGGCTTATAAAAAGAGAAACAACTGAAGTTCAAACTGTGTAAAACTACCTGTAGCTTGCACAGGTAAAGCAACACCTGGAAGAACAGTGGTCTGGAAGATTTAAACAATCTTCTGACAAACATGATTAAAGTAAATCACTGTTCAAAAATTACTGTAGGTGGATGGAGATAGAGAGAATCAGAGTGAACTCCTACACCTCGCTGCTGTAGGTAACCAGTCTGAAATTATTACAAGTTTGAACAAATGCAAACAAAATTACTGCAGTAATGAATTGTAGACAGCTGTAGTCAGAGAAAATTAATAAATTTAGCTGCTTTAGCTAGCAAAAGAGACTAAAAGGAGACAGATACAATAGGTTCTCAAACACAGGGAAAGAATTAGAAAAGAATAAACCTAAGATAACTTATTCATGTGTTCAGGCCAGAAATAGATAACCACTAGGCACACTCTGAGGAAACATGACAACTTCTCTGTTCAAAATTAATATTTATAAAAAACTCTTATCAGGTGACTTTAGGCATGAGTGGTGGCTGGACTTGTAAAGGCATATCTTTTTCAACAGTACATTTCTGCAAGAAGTTCCAACTCAATTTAATTTGGAAGTAGTTTTGTCTATCCATCTGCATAAAATGGTTACTTAGGAAAATTTTTTCACCGTTATTCACAATGAGCTTGTTTTTCCTCTTAGTTCAACTCAAATTGAAACATCTTCAGCCTATTTGCCATGACAGCTGAACCAGATACCACAGTGGAGCTACTCAAACAACTGTAGCTTCAGCACCACCGTGTGGATCTCTATATTTATTCTGTACTGTGAAGAACAAGCTAGTGAGAAAATATGCTGCTGCTCCTTAAAATATGTTGGTTTTGAAAGCATTCAACCCCGAATGAGGATGAAGAGACCTAATGCAATTCTTGCTCAAAATATATTTTTATATTTCTTCAACAGAAACTCAATTTCCAAGTTAAAAAAAAAAAAAAAAAAAAAAACAAACAAAAAAAAAAAAACAACAAAACAAAAAAAAACACAAACAAAAAAACCCAGAGAAGGGAACCATTTCTAATTAAAGCTTCACTGGCAAGTCTTGCTTCATAGTTTCTTACAAACAAGTGGAGAGAGACCAGAGATGCCACCTACTGGATTATTAAGAGATCCCCACACATACAGCCAAGTGATACCCTTTCTCTCTCTTGACCTAACTACTGTATTTCTATACTCTGCTGCTGCCCGGTACACACCTTTCTGAAGGGTTTAGGAACACTTAGTATTTCTAGGGGAAAAATATAGGAAAGTATAAGAAGAAAATATATATTACGACATCCCAGGAAAGCCATTTCTCACAGCAGCAGTAATGTTGACAATGGCTCCTCCATGTTCCTGCATCCAGGCATTGTACACTGTATGAAGGAGGAAGATAACCTATAAATATCAGAAGAAATGCATACAAATGAACTTGCCAACTGGAAACCAAATTTGGAGTCTTAACTGCAATCACATTACACATTTGTCATAATGGTTTAGAAAACCAACCTGCTGTTTGTACCACAGCCTTGCCAATCCAGAGGTGAGACCATGAGGCAACAGGCACAGTCCAGGTAAGGCTCAAGGATTGTAACGAAGCACTTGATGGAAATTAAGATTTCATGTTTCCATGTAAATTACTTTAATTTCCACATTCCAAATGCTATCTGAGAATGATATACCATACTAAAATTTAAGCCTAAATTTATATGCCTGAAGAAAGTATTTTCCTATGTTATACACAGTGAATACAAGCCACAAAAGTTAAGTAGTTTTCCTATAGTCCTTTAAATGAGTATCCAAGTCAAGTGACTTCCCAAACCTGGCCTTAACCAGAAGATCATGCTTGCCTAAATGTATGTTTGTATTTATGAACAAATGTAATATACCATTTATTGCAAAGCTTTGGATGAGACTCAGGAAAACAAGTATCCACTGTCAGATAAGTGAATGAAAAGAGGAAGCTAGGGAAACTTGACATTCCTTATCTTCTGGTATTTCTGTAAAAAACAAAACCAAGTAAACATAAAAAGCTTAATGTTCAGACCTTACCTGCTTTGCAACAATAGAAGGTCCCTGTCAGATTTGTGTCTATCACGGCATTCCAGCCTTTTGCACGGATGGCTTCAGAAGGACTTGCAAACTGGCCCCCTCCATTATTCACCAGGAAGTCAATCTTCCCATGCAGACTTAGTGTAGACTTCACCAAAGCTTCTACCTGAAACAGTATTTGTTAGTGTGGTATGCTGATCAATGTCTACACCCAGTTTTGTTCTCAGACAGTATATTCTCCTTCATGCCCTTTTCACAGAAAAAGAGGAGGTCTAGCCTTCAGAGAGGCTGCAAGATTGGTAGACAGGTTTAGCCAGCCAAGAAGGACTGGGTTGTATCCATGTTTACTTCGGAAATTTTGCTGGTATAATGCAGGTGCTGCATAAAATACCAGCACCCAAAGAAGAAGGGGATTTAAGCTGCTGAAGATTTGTAAAATCAAACAGACACAAAAGCCCACTACACACAACCTACTAAGAATCTCCTGATGTTTTTCAGAAGAATGGGGGTGTTCACATGAGATCTGCAAAGAGTTCCATATAAGGTAGCTACTGTTATTTTTATCTGACCATATTCCTGACCATTTTAAATAGAAAACATAATTCATCCTGTGGAGTTTTATCACCTTTATATAGAAGTTCAGTATATTCACTACAGCTCTGACATATGAGTTGGCAATAGCCAGTCTCCTTACACAGAGCAAGAAGGTTAATTACCCTACAAAACATGAAGTCTAAAAAATGCTGGAAATACAAATTATCTTCTTAAGCAAAACTATTATTGCAAGATAGTAATAAGAACTCCATAGCTACTTAATAATTTAATATTTATCTCAAGAAACAAGAAATGGGACAAAATGATTGTTTCCTGCTTACATCATCAATCATAACTAGATACCATGCATCAGTTATTCCTACTCAAGCATATATAAAAAGATAACCTAGCATCTGTGGTCAGAGAAAACAGAACAAAAACAGAAAAAAAAACCCAGAAAACCAAACAGGTGGAGCAATTCTGCCACTCAAACAGATTGGGCTAGGGGAAGAATATAAATCAGCCTTTCTCTGTATTGAGTTAGCAATAGAACATCAGAAACAAAAAAAAAAGTGCAAGCAATGCATTATATGTATCTCACAATGAGTGTTACCACCCAGTCTCACAAATAGGTGCCTTTCTATCTACTTACTAATCTTTTATTTCTAACAGCACAGAATGGTTTAACAGGACAGTATGGATCCTGTAAGCATGCACCTCTTGAAAGAACAAAACCCTAAACAAACCTATAATGAGTGAAAAACTAGTGCCTGCTGGGAAAAAATGCCTTCAATACCTAAACCCCATCTTCAAATTCTGAATGTCAGCTTATTCCTCACTTATTAGTCACTGCAGGTTGTGGGATGTGAGAAAAAGCCCAGAAAACCAAAACATCTGTGACAGCAGTCCCAAACTCATAGCTTGCAAGAACAGCCATGCCACAAGGACATTCTGGCTTTTACTTTTCTCTTGTTGTGAGCAAAGGAAAGTTCTGTCTGGCTAGGCAGCAAAAGTTATGCTTTGCTCAGCAATAACAAACTCTTCTCCCTGTCAGTCTGAGAATTTTGCTTTGAATATTACTCTCTGTAAGTTACTGAAATATGGGCTCATTTATGGAACAGAAATGGTTTCAGTACAAAGAAGATTTGAACAGACTAAGGCTATTCACACTGTGAAATACGAGAAAGAGAGAATGAAAAATGCTAAGAATGATAAAAAGAAAAGACTGAAAACAAATTAACAAGAAAAATCCACTGAAAACAGACATTAAAACAACTTTTCAACAGCTGGAAAAAAATGTATGTTATATGCTATAGCATATCAATTCAAAATGGTTCATCTGTTGCACTAAAGGAACTGTTGTTGCTCCTACGAGTTGCACCATATTCTCAGGGGGAAAAAAATTAGAAACCAACCACAACAAACACATATCAGTTCTGCTTTCTGAAAGCCAGGAAAGGCCAAAGGTTCTCCAGTGACAGCTCAGATGGCTCCAGCTGTAGCAATCTTCACAAAGTCTTCTGTGCTGTAGGAAAGTACCACTGCAGTGCTTCTCCCACTTACAGCAAACATGGTGGCAGCGGCCAGCAGCACAGGGAGAAGGAGGGTCTGGTAGAACACATTTAAATCACAGTGACTTCTAAAGAGGATTCTTTTCTATTGCTATAATTAAAATATCCACTTGGAAAGAGCTTCTTAGAAAAGCTATTAAAGACTCTCTTTGGAAGCAAAGCAAAGCTGCATGAGATAGAGCTACTAGTTTAGGACATTCTTCTGAAAAAGACAGAAAAGAATAAAATCAGGCACTTCAGACATAACCAGAAGACTGGAACATATAATAAGGAACAATAAGGAACTTATCTGCCATGTGACTTCAACTTAGATGTATTAGGCAGTAGCACATACTCACAAACAACTGAGATGACAGCAGTCACTGACTCGGGGAAAAGGGACAAATGTCCACATGCATTCACAGGCAACCCTAAGAGAGTAAAATACACAGGAAACCAACCCACTACAGAGTTTCACAGATTTGTGATATGGTGGCTAGAACTAATAGGCATTCTGGCACAGTGGTAACAGGTATTTTTACTGTGTTACTGCTGTGTTATTTAAAAGTAAAACAAGAAGAATCTCTTATCCACAACTCCCCACCAAGCTACAGTCTTTCACTACAGGCTTCACACAGACAGGCATTAAGTATTTATAAACCAACTGAGCCTATGCTAAGCTATAAAGTTTATTGGAAAAGAAAAGCAGCTAGTGAGCTCAGACAAAAGGTACATGCTAAGTAGCACTGCACTGAGTCTGTCTGAAGTTGTCTTGTTGATGTCCAATTGACAGATTTTACCCTCAGGGTCTGGTCCAGCAGCAGGTTCTGTTGCTGGAGTTCAAGTATGGAAAGGAGACACCATGAACAGAATTCTGAATTGTTGATTTCAAGAACAGCTGTGGCCCACCAGAAGTACAAGGATTTCTTTTCCACTTACCTAGACACGTAAGCTTCTACTAATCTAGGTGGCAGTTAAAGAAATGTTTGTCCACAGAGTATTGCAAAAAGGCTTTACAAGTATAAGGATTTAAAGAGTATTGCTGCCTGTCTCAGAACACTGTCAAGGCCACAGAAGGAACTTATCAAAAGATGATAAGCCACCAAAGCAGGAGCTTCCTGAGAGAAGCACAGAAGGGAGGAATTTGCAACAGGAAAGCATTAATTCCAGGCCTAGCAGAGGTAAGATCGGGTTAGAACATCTTGGTTAATGCATCCAGACAAAAGTGCCCACTGTGGCAAACTGTAGGAAAGGAAGCAACTGCTCATACACATCACCCCAAGTTATGGGAATGGCACCTGTGACCACCCCATGGGTACTTGAAACTTGGCCAGTGTGAAGGTGGTATCCCCAGAAGACTGACAGGACACTGCTGCATCCACAGCTCGTGACCATCATCTGCTTGGTCTCTGTCTCTCTCAGGCTCTCTCCCTGCCTTCCTCCCCTTAATTCAGACATTCATTCCTCATGTCTTGTCCCTGTCAACAGATTTTGCTGTTGCTCAAAATTCAAGACACAAAAAGAGATAAATAAAGATACACATGCACACAGAACTGTCTGGTTTGCATCTCAGCAAGATGCAAATGATCTCCTCTCAACACATTATGAGGCCAGGAAATATGCAAACAATGAAAATCACTTGAGTTTCATAATCACTAAGAAGCAACATCTATCACTATATACACTCCATACCACAGGAAAAGGGAACAGGTGCACAATCACTGCTCCAGGATAAGGCCCCATGACAGAACATAGAAATATATTCTAATGACAGAATAGAGAAATCTCAAGTCCTCTTATCCCAGAACCCTCTACTCTGCCATTTAAAAAAAATAAAACAGGTTTTTTACCCTTTACAGAACACTCAATGGAAAACTAGTCAAAACCAGCAGCAAACTCCTGACAAAAATAAGCCTGACAGGTTATGCAGTGGTTCAAAATCCTCCATCAAGCAGGATTATTTCTTGCACATTAAACAAAAAGTAAGCTTTGCTAGAAAGCAGAAGGGCTTCTGAGGATGAAGATTTAGAGACTTAAAAATGTGAATTCATTAAGCTATTCCCATGATATTTGCCATCAAGCTTCTGCAGTAATTAATTCACTGCACCTTCTTTGCCTCTTCCTAGGCCAGAAAGAGCTCTAACAAACATCCTGGACTACATGGTGAGGGATGAACCTTCTAATGCTTGAATTTCACAGATCCAAACTAGAGGCATGAACTGTGTCATCTTCAAAGCAGGTCAGTTACTTTAAGATTTGCAATAGGAGGCAAAAAATAATCTTCCGGCAATTTGAAAGCAACCTAATCTTTCTTAAATTTTCCCTATTCAAAGTCTTCCCTCCAGTTTATAAAATTCAAACCAGGACAAAATTTATAGAGGCCTTTAGAGAAATGCAGAACAACTGATAGAGAAGGAGGGATTATAAAAAATGGCATTCTGTAATAAGAAGAAATGGCGTGATCCTACAGGTGATCAGGGTGGCTTCCTTTAAAACAAAGATTTACTCTTAGAAAGACTTCAATGAGATGTCAGAGAGAATGATATATTAAATGAATTATGTACTTCTTCAGGAAACTTCCCGGGCTTTGAAGCTTGTGATAGATCACTTCTGACATCTAAGGGAGCTTGAACTCCGAAGTTTTTTTTTCTCCTGTTGAAACATTTATAATGTTTTTCTCCTGCACATGTTCTTTGGTACCTGGTATAAGAGCTAAGAAGGAGGATGTTGTGACTCACACAGAATTCTTGCAGGGGCTGCTCCTCTCTACCCAACAATGTGCTCCCGTGATTTCTGAGGTAAATACTCTTCACTCACACTAAGCTGAAAGCAAACAATGAGTTGTAATGTTACTAATGAGTAGCACACAGGACCAACACAGTTGTAACTAGTCTCACTTCTTTCACGAGGGAAACCAAAAGCTGACATGCCCTCTCATCCCCTCTTCCACTGTAACAGGAAACTCTTAATGCATTTGTGAAAATACTGAAGTGAGTTATATTAATGTGTTACCTTTACTCAGTATTTGCCTCCTAGGCTAGAAAAGTCCTTACCAACATCTTTTACTGATTCCTGTTCCTATGACTCCAAGTCGCAGGCACTAAATTTTAAGTTAAGAATGGAGTAGGTTTTAAAAGTGGATGTACATACTCTTTGAATCTAAGTAAAAGCCCAAAGGTACTTTTCCTCTAGTTTCTACAAGGTAAGCAAGTGAAAATTAGGAAAAAAGTACTTTTCACCATTGCTGCTCTAGGAGACATACTAAATAAGCAATAGTAAGCAGTGGGATGTGGAAAACCTGCCAAACCTATCAGTTCTGACAGTTTTTAGCAGTGTAAGTTAACAATCGTTAATTTGAGTTTATCTAGTTTCAACCTACAAAGTACCTAAATGTAAGGAAGCACTATCCTCACTACAAATTTGAGAGCTGAAAACACAAATTTCTGGTCCAATGGTAAATTCAGAAATTAAGTAACATACGGTCAGGATTTAGAAATCTTTGAGAATCTCAGCATTAACAGAAGAGAACAGAGCCAGAGAGGCACAAGCTGAAACTTCCACTGACAGGAGACATCCAATAGAAGCTTCACTAATATAATATGAAAAGTTCTAGGAAAGTTCTGGTGTGTCTGTAAATGGGCAGAGTTTAAATTGGAAACAGGACAATTCTATGATAAAACTGCAAGGTAATAGCAAAGACAGAAGTTTCTTCAAGTATCAGTATGGCTATCCATAACACAGTATAATGCCTAAACTCTTTACACAGCATTATAAAGAAGGCTTGAAAAGCACCTTCAAAAATTTCCAAAGCCACTTAAGCCTGTTTTGTCAAATAGGCATTTAGCCACACTTAAGAAGGAAATAAATAAGGAATGTCAGTTTAGTGGAGATTACCTTATTTCACCATCCAAGCAAGCCCCAAACTATCTCACAGACCGCTGTAGTTCTCACTGATCAATTCCACACTGATAAAGAAGTAAGGTTCACCTGCAGAAGGTTGTTAAGTATGCCAGAGTACTTTCTGCAAGAAACACACCTGAAAAAAAGCTTAAACCTTTTTTCCTCTTTACCTCTTTTCTTTCATGTAGCTTTAATCATGCAAGTTGCCCTCTGACATCTGCCATAACCTATTATGTTGCACTGCTGATGCTAGTAAATACACACCTAAAATTCACTGGTAAGTGAAGTGACATACTGCACAGCCCCAGGGTTCATCTCCTTCAGGAGAGAAAGTCTGAGTAGATCACTATAAATATTTTATGGCAAAAACTGTTCCACAAGGGAAGAATTTTAATTTTTGTTTTATGGCTATATCTTAGAATATTTCCAGCATCCTTACAGCTACTGAAGGTCATTAATATTTAGGTTAAGAGATACTTTGAGAGGTTTAGAAAAATGCTGCAATCAGTGGTTACTGGAAGATTTTCTAGCTATCTTCATAAAGTTAAAAATCCAACCTGAAGTAGGGCTTTTAAATATTTAATTACAGAGATAAAAGAACTAGGAGGTGCATGCAGACTTGAAGAACCTGGATTATGTACTTTTGCTCTTGATCTTCCCTTTTCTGTAATATGAAGAAAAAAATTTAAAATCAACTTGAATAGTAACAGAGATGGCAATGAGAAATACCTCAAACTGTAACCAAAATTTCTGACATGGCTAAAATATTATGTATCTGTGGGGTTTTTTGGCTTTACTACAAGCCAAACTGACAATGCAGGGCACTTGTGTCAAGTCACAAGCATTCAGATTCCATGCTATGCCTTCCTGTTTGAAGGAACTATTCTGAGGTCTCCATCTTCACAAGTTTACACCCCCTCACTTCTGTCACAGCAATGTGACAAAGAATCATGCTAAGTGGGCTCTGCCTCACTGTAGAACATGCCAGTTACAAGGACTGCATCTCCCAGAAATATCTGAAATATGTAAGCGTGGTCAGAAAAATATTTGCCAGTATTTACAAATGCTTTTTTGCTTACATGGCTAACAAATGTCTTTCCTTGAAAAGCACACCTATCCAGATGAATTTACTGATCTTTGCTCCACCTTTCCCCTGATCTAAGCTACTTTTGAGAAGGCCAGAAATCTTTAGAGAGCTGAGAATTTATATACACAATATGCTTCTGATATGTTAAGCCCCAGAACTAGGTCACTAATCGTTACCTCCTCTTCTTTGCGGATATTGCACGCTATGGGGGTCACCTGGGCAGGACTCATGGAGGCAAATCTGTTATTCAGCTCTTCTGCAGCAGCTTTTAATCGGTCAAATTTACGAGAGGCAATAACAACACTGCAACCTGTGTGTGGAGACAAAATGAAACATCATTCAGCTAACACAATTACGCTGGTTTTTAGTAACATCATGGAGATATCTTGTAGGATGTGCATTTATTAGTCACTGACTAGAAAATACAGTGTTGAAATTCTTGCCAGAGAGAAATGACTGATGTCAGATGCTTCTTAGCAAAAAAATCCCTCTGTGCCAGGAAAAGAGCAATTAAAAAAAATGTCCACAAGATTTCCTCTCCTTCCTGCAGAAGAGAAGATAGCCTGTGAGTTGCAGAGTCAGCAAAGCAGCTTTCAGACATCACTTCTGCTGCTTCTGCTCACAGCTGCCTCATTTATCAATTAAGTGATTTAAAGATGTTTCAGCAGGTCTTGATTACAAAAAATGCTTGCTCTTAGAACCACAAAAATAATCTTCTTGTACAACTGGTTGTAATTTTGACTAGCAGTGAGTAAATGTAATGGTCTGGTTTTTAACTCTGCAGAGACTGAAGGAAAGGATAATAGCCTCACAAGATCAATCCCTATCTGCAGTCTACAGACAGCAGGAACAGAGCCCTCCCTGTGGCACTGCAGAATCCTAGCTGCAGAAAGGAGAGAAAAAATAAGGCAGGAGCTCAAGTACTCCCTTTTTTCAGCATTTGGAGGCAGAAGGATTCATTCTATGGAGAAAAAACAATGCAGGTGCCAAATTTAAGTCAAGCACTCATACTACAACCAGTCTAATTTCTTCATCTTCTTTCCACATCAGTGGACTCAGGACAGCTTTAGGGCTTCAGCAATTGCTACTACACAGACTAAACCAAAGGACACCAAATTAATTCCTAGTGCAAATCCAGCAGGCATGCAATATCATGCAATGGATAAGCAAATTACTAGCCAAGTAGGCAAGGTCTTCCTCCCAGTTTGCTCCTTCCATTATCTTAGCATTTCAGCAGAAGTAATCTCTTCTTCATATCAGGTCTGCTTCTCATCTGCTTTAATATAAACCATCCTCAGCCAGCCAAAAAAAAAAAAAAAGGAAAAAGTTAACATCTTGCCAGGTGTGGGGTTTTTTTTCCCTCCTCTGCTGCAGAGTGGAATTTGGCCTCTCTTGTGATCAAGCAAACACCAGAATCAACTCAAAACAACTAGAGGGAGGAAAGAGCAGCAAGCTGTTCATTTGACTCAGGCTGTCTCGTGAAACATATATTAAAAAAAACACATTAAAAATAGAGGAGTTTAATTCTTCCAGGGAGAAACTTTACAACTATGTGTCCTCAGGAATAGGAGCTTCACCTTTAATTAGTGACCATCTTAAAACAACACATGTTAAGACAGTAGTCACTGGTTTTTTCTAAATTAAGAACTCCATTCACTTGCACAACCTAACTAAAGCAAAGTTCATAAAATGCCACACACAATTACCAGTTAACACAAAATACTGAATCACAGTAGCCCAGTTGTATTTACCAACTTAAGTGCTTATCAATAGACACATTGATATAGAATAAGGTCCAGTAAGAGACTATATTTTTGCGAAATGTACTAACTGGGAGAGGGAGAGATTCTAATCACTGAAGAATATTTGGTACATAGTGTGCAAGCTGACAACGTCACTTAATTTTCTTCACAAAGAGTGACCACACGGTTTCCTGACAGGGTCAGGGAAAACGGCACAAGTTTCCAGATAAAAGGTTTAAATTTGCCCAGAAGGCCTCAAAGGAGACTGGTTATATAAACAATGTATATGATGACTAGCATTACGGGTCACTGCTCCTTTGCCTGTAAGAACCAGCCCCCCTTACCTGAAGTGCAGAGTATACATGGAAATAGTTCCTAAATCATCATCTTGTCAGAAGTAACCAGCAAGTCTACAGGTGAGGAAGGTTACTCAGTCAGTCCTGAGCCCTGTATAGCTCTTTCTTCATTTTTTCTGATGTGCTTTATACAGATTTGTTTTCTATTGTGTTCTATTTAGGCTGTTACGGACACACTTTTGTTATTGTATCTTGTTTGAGAAAAACAGCAAAGATCAAATTAAGCACAATTTTAAGGTAACTGGGTAACATCACCAACCAACAGTGTGTGATGACGCTTAAAAAGCACCTCTTTAAAGCATCATGTAAGGACACCTGGAAAAAAAAAAATACTCAGTTCCCCAATAATACAAAGGTAACAGAACTAATCCTCCATTCAGCTTCACAAAGCAAGTGGAAAGCTGCGGTACAAAGGCAAGGAAAGACAGAGATGTCTCCCAGCACAGCGTAACAAAGAAAGCTCTTTACTATGCAGTGCAGCGGTGCACATTCCAACAAGGCAAACCACGGGAGTGTGACACCGAGAGGTGTAACGCTAGCGCCGGCATTCTGAAGGCGCTGAATCTAATGGTGACAATAAACTATCCAAACCCAGCCTGCTGCCGATGATCCCTAGCAGAGTTGAAATCTGCAGGAAAGGTGTTGCAAGGTGGATGTAGGAGTCATTCCTACCTCTCCTGGTCTCGTATCAGAAAGTCAGGAGACTGCCTTTCACTGTAGGTTTTACCACTTCTCTGTATTCAGAGGGGAAAGAAAAGCTACGCCGTGCATCTTGAAGATGTTCTTCAATTTCAGGACGTTCCTGAAATCGCAGACACCGGGAGAAGCACCACGTCCCTAAGATGTAACTGTGCGGGCAGCAGTTTAAGATACTGCTCTGTAAGAATCAAGGTTCAACAACCTCGTAAACCCTCCAGTTAAAGCAAGACGAGAACTCACTGAAGGGAGAGTCTGAGAGAAAGGGTCCTGGTTCAACATAACCTCACTGACCTCTTGTGTTTAAAAGAGCGAGTATTTTGCGGGCCAAAAGGCACAGCCCCACATGAACCTCACCTCGTACCCCTTGCTGATCTTGTCACAATGTCCCACCCACGGGCTCCTCGCACCGTCCCCGAGAGCCGTCAGCCCCCGAAAGGCAGCACCGCCCGCGGGCACTTCCTGACGGCCCCCCGAACTCCATCCGCCCTCCCAACACCCGCCTGGCCCCGCTGCCCCACCGGGGCTTCCTGCGGAGCCCGCCCCGCGCCCACCTAGCGCCAGCAGGTCGGCGGCGATGGCCTTGCCGATGCCGGTGCCGCCACCGGTGACAATGGCGACCCGCCCGCGGAGCAGCCCCACCGCCAGCAGCCCGCGCCCCGCCGCCGCCATCTTCCCCCTGCTTCCCTCCCCGCTGCCCGCCTCAGCCGCGCCCGCCCCCGCCGTGTGACGCGCGGCCCCGCCCGCCCGGAGCTCGGCGCCGGGGACGGCGGAGCGGTGCCGGCGGCGCCGGTGCCCGGGTCCAGTGGTGCGGCACAGCGCGACACCGCGGCGGCAGGTAAGGCAAGGGGGGCGGCTGTCCGCTGTCGGTATCGCCCGGGTCCCGCCCCGCGGGGCAGACACCGCTCAGCGCCGGGAGGGGTCGGTGCCTGGGGTGGCGCCGCGGGGTCGCCGCTGCAGCCCCGCAGTGAGCACCCACCTGCCCGCAGCCGCGGGCTCGTCCGCTTGCCAGGACGGGTCGCCTTGGTTTTCTATTCCGCTTCGGGTCACCTTCCCCGTGGACGCGGGCAGGCACCCCGAGGAGCAGCGGGAGCGGAGCCGCACCGGGAGCAGCCGGCGGCTGTCACGGACAGAAGAAGGTGCTGGTGTGTGCCTGCCGCGGACCCGCGGGCGGGCAGTCCTCTCTCCGGGCTTGGACTTTGTAGGGAAGGGGCCGTGAAGACCGAGGTGACAGCGTTTACTGTGTCCCCAGTAGAGTCATTTTGGGCTCAAATGCCTTTGTGGTGGTGGTGTCCGTCCCCCCTCTCCCGGCCCCCTTAAAATGGCCCTAACTAAGCTCAGTATTAATTGCTTTGCTGATTCAGAGGACAGGCAGCATTATTTTCTTTTCTATCCCACAGTGAAGTGACAGAGCATCCTTGTCCGTTGCAGGTGATTTTAACCGGCGCTGATGTGCCCAGCAGCATGTGTGTGCACGTTCAGTGTCTTTCCAGGCATCTCCTCTGTCCTCTTCAATAGAAGAGATGTTTGAAAGTATGTGTCAATTTTGTCTTGTTATTTTTGCCTTAGGAGAGTTGGCTAATGTGAGAAGAGAGTGAGGTTTGGGGTTTTTTTTTAAAGACATGTAAATAAAATGGGAGAATCATTGAGTCTCTTTTGGGATTCTCATTTGTGAAACAAATTTATTTACTTTTCCAAAAGCACATTTTAAGGTTTAATACTTTAAATCAGGGACAATTTTAGTATAATGTGTATATCCTGTAGTTCAGTGTGTTTCGATGGAAGCGGTATACCCTCCTTTTAAGTGTATGGGAGGGGAGGCATGGAGAAGTTAACTGGGTGTCCAGATTCATTCACCTGAAATGGAAGGTTGACAAGACAAGGGTGCATTTCTGCATGGTGGCTTAGGCCAATAAGGAACTGTTAGACAAAATTGCCCTTTTCAGGTGGGTCAGTGTTTGCAGAACCCATCAGTGTTGAAAGCATTTTACTTTCTGGGGGCAAAATGTGAAGCACTGTGAGTGACACTGCAAAAATTTTTTTCCCCTCCTTTTAATTATCTTTCACAATCTGAGACTTCACAGATTCCCATTAACTGTCTCTGGCTGCCCTACATATCTTAGGCAGGCCGTATCAGAGCAATCATTAATTAATCCCAGGGAGAAGCACTCATTTGTGCTAGTGAATTAGATCTTCATATTCCAGCCTTCCTGCCATCCCAACTGAGCTGCATGGCTCCAAGGAAAATCCAGTGGGCCTTTCTACTCATGTGACCTCCTTGACTTCAGTGTTCTTCCTAGACAGCACTATCAAAGAATTTTTCTTCCCTATCAGGATATATTGCTTGGTTCCTGCAATTTCCCAGTAGCCACAGAAATGCCATAAATAAGGGGCTTATTACACATGAGTTAGGGTTCTGTGAGTGATGGGTGGGAGGAGAAAGGCATCAAGACTGTATGGGAGAGGGAGGAGGAGGGAAAAGGAGACATCCATTCCTTGGCATTCAGTGGAGGGTAGCCCCTTCTGGTACAAAATGTATTCACAAAAAATAAAGCTGGGATAACCAATGCTCACAGACATTTTCAGCAAAGCAGTGGCTTCTGTTCACTGTTGTGTGTGTTGCTTTTGAACCAAGGACTCAAACTGTACCTTTGTGTGAATTGATTTGACCCCAGTCATTGAAATTCAAAATTATTTAATCTGAAAGGAAGAAAATCTTATTAACTAAAATCAATTTTAATCTTCTCATATGCTTATACTTTCTAAATATCAAAGGAATGTTACTTTTCTTTTATTGAAAGTATTAAAACATGTCGGTCTGTCACTCCACACAGACAATGGTAAATTCAGTAAGCATAAGGCTTTTGCATATTGATGTTACTCTAGAAACTTAATGTTAAGATTCTGAATTTTTATGTGTTAGAAAATAGTGTCTGATTAGACAGCTTAATTTTTTTTTTTCAGTATATGTCAGCTTGAATTTGGAAGAAAATAAATCTGCATTTAAAGGTTTGGAGTCTTAAGTTTTGTTTTCTGAAGTTAACCATCTGACTTTTTTTGACTTGGTGTAACTATCACTTAAAACATCAACCATTCAAAAGTCAAAATGAAAAAAAAAAGAATTCAGTCATTTTTTCCAGCTGTCAGCTCATTTGGAGTTGTAGGATTAGCATATGTCATTCTTGAACATCCACTTTTTTATTTACATATTGAAGAGAAAAAACTAGATTTCCTGTTTTTTTAGATTTCCTAGCTCCCAGATTGTGTCTTGGCTTTGAATGAAGTAGTTCAATTTATTGAGATGAATAGGAAACTCTGCATTTTCAGAAAAGGCTGCTTTTGTCCAAAGCTGTGCTTTGCCAGCCTATGGCTCAGATGGCACCTGCCAGTCCAGTATGCTGCTGTGCTTTAAAAATCCTGGCACTGATAAGTACTGCCTTGAGAATTCCTTCTGGCATGCTATCCTTCAGGGTGTCTGTGCCCTCCTATAGCTCAAAACCCATGTTGGCATGGGGAAAGGTCTCGAGAGTAGTTAAGTACCAGCCTGATGAGAGAGAAGAGGTGGCTCCAAACAGGAGAGAAACCTCTGCAGGATTCAAACCCTGTGAGAGGTATGCCTGGGGTCAGCAGTCTCACAAGGAGGTGAGGGCAGAGGAGATTTAATGAAAAGCACCTTAGTGCAAGAAATAAAATTTTAAGGTTAGAGACAGCTTTTCATAGAGGATTTCTGCTAGTTAGCCTTCAGAAAAATGCAGGGTTGCACTCCAGTAGCCTCTGCTTTCCCAGACTGCACTCTTATTGGTGCTCCAGGCTCATATTTTTCTTCTCCTGGGACAGTAAAAACCACACAAAGTGTAACAACAATAATTTCTTCTCTCCCATTACAAGAAATGCTTGGATTGAGCCACAACCAAATGAAAGCTGGCATGAGTTGTGTCCTTACATCTCTAGACCTTTCCATGGGATTGTACAATAGGCCTCTTTGGAAATCCCTGCTACTTTCTCCTCCTGTCTGTACGTTCTCTCCTGAGGCTGCTTTTCCTTTCATCATCTCTCAACAGCAAGTGAAAGCCTTTCTGTTTTGTGGCTTCTGGTTTCCATATCAGAACAGCCTCCTGGTCAGGCCCAGCTGATGTTCAGGCTTTCTGGTCAATTCATCTTTTTAGGGACTTCCTCTCTGGAAAGGCACTTTACTCTCAGCTATGTCTTGGGGGATTTCAGTCTAATTAGAAGATAATCAGGATTTTACAATCTTTAATCATTATACCTAGCAATTTCATTCCAGTGATTTAAAAAAAAAAAAAAAAGAAAAGAAAAGGAGATACCAAGACAGACATCCCACTCACAGCAGAGTTTGCAGTCGTGCAAGATATAGAATATCAGCATCAAACAGTTGAAACACGTTCATAGAAAGATTTTCTAAACAATTACATACCCTGCTAATACCATACTAATGATACTGAAGCATTCACTTGTCTGCAATTCAAAGTGCTACATTTTTAATGTTGTGGCATCACAGGTCTCTATCTGCACTTGTATCCAATCACAACTCCCCTGAGCCAAGTAATTCCTGCTGCTGAAGATACTGTCTAAATATCCTAGATTGTATTTACTGTGCAATGCATTAAACAGTCCTGAATCACTCCCAAGGGAATATTCTAGTTCACTCTCTGTGTAGTTGTGCTTTCCAGCAACTCCTGGGCTGCAGCCAGGTGTTACTCAGAGAAAGCTCTGACTTGAAGCCCCAAATATCTTGCCTAAAGAAGAAGCACAGGATGTGTGTAGCTTGTTGTTGGTATTTTCAGATAATGCTTTCCAGACTGGATTGACAATTGACTATTTTCCATTAGGCTGTATGGCTGCAACTGCTTCTTCTCTAATTGCAGGTGTTTCAATGTGTGGTTTCTCCTCATTTTGTCAGAGTAAAGCACTGACTGGGATGCTTGATCCAGCCAGCAGGGCAGGAAAGGGGACTGAGACTGAGATGGTCAGGAATCATCTGAGTAGGAAAGAAGGAAAAAAAGCCTGAGGTGTTAACCAGGGTCCTTGCTTCTAGTTATTGTAAAGGTCAGAAGAGTCCAGCATGCATTGAAACCTTCTCTTGAGAGCACTGTGTGATGGAGGACTTGGAGCCCTTCACTGGCATCCCCTGCAGTCAGGTCTGTAGCAGAAGTCCTGTGTTAGCACAGGTGCTTCACACCCACCACCGGTGTTTCATGGCTTTGGAGCCACTCCCAGTGTTTCTTACTTCCACATGAGTGTGTATATGCTGTGTGGGTGTTTTCTCTGCACTCTGGTTTGTGTATGCAGCAACAGTTCCTAATGCATCTTCCAAACCCACTGAAGGACAAGTTGGGTCTTATACCAATAAAAATAGATGCTACACTTGATCCCAGCCTAAAGGCACTGCTGTGGGGGCAGGGTGTTTGACTAAAGTTGGTGGGATTGACTTTGTTCAGATGTTCCTATGGTACAGTGTAATCCAGCAGTGACCTGAGGGATGGGGTAGGGATTGCAATGAGCACCCGCTGTTTCGACATGCAAGATGGCTTGTTTTGGCAAATCCAGAAGTGAGGGGTAGAGCAGGGCAACAGAGAAAGCATGCCTCTACAGTTGAAATCTATTTTTTCTTACAAAATTTAGAGACTTTGGTTACTTTATTCAAGACTCATTTCTCAATGCTTGGTTTGCTTTGAAGATTTCAAACCTTCCATTTCCAAATCAGGCTCATTTTAAAACCTTGGTTCTCTTTAATTCTAATGTGCCCATGCCATTCCTTGACATTTTTAGCATAGTATAATAAACATAAAGAAACAGATATCATCCATGTGGAGGCAG